GATTAGAAAAAGAGGAAAATATGACCAACATATCATCATTATTTTAAGCATATTGAATTAAGGAGATTCAGTCCCTTCCAAATTGTACTGGTAAAGCATGTTTTGAGTTTATAAATTCAGAATTTTGTATTTAATCAAAATTTACATCAAAGTTGATGCAACTATTTTACAGCTCCAATAACTGTATTAGATCTAAGGTATCAGCAGGTGCCTTACTAATAACCACACTCACTGTGATATCTAGTCACTGATCTGCCATTGATGGATGTACTACGTAGACTGAACTCATGTGGTTGTTAAAATATGATGTGTTGCAGTCCTGTAGTGGTAATTAGCATGCATGATAGTGGTAGAAAGATAAACATCATTATTACAATATTCAAGAATAAGTAATTAAACTTGAGTTATTTGTGATAAAGTCATATTTAAAATTAGAGAGAAGTTGCACTGAATAATTTTCATAGCAAAATATACTTTGTTTGGTATGATACTTCCTTTTCATAGCAATTTTGTGGTCTTCTATATTTGTTCTGTATTATGATTATAGTATAGTAAGTGTTTATTCATTCAGTGTGAAGTTTATGAAAATAAATGGTTAGTGTATGAATTTACTCGTTTATTAAGATTAATGTTTACAGGGTTTGAGAAAACGGTTTCAAATAGTTATGTTATTATATACAGGAAGAAAGATGCATCACATTCATAGATTTGTAAATCAAAACTTTTTTGTATACTTTCTTTTCTTGCTTGAAAGGATGCTAGTGTTGCATCCATATAGTAGAGTTGAATATAGGCAGAGCTTTAAAAAATCATATATATTAGTTATGAAGCTCTTAAGCAGAGCCTAATAGTCAGAATAGCTAACACTTGCAGTTTCTGTGACAAATTCTAATGATACTTGTTTTGTCACATATTGTGCATATTAAATGTTATATTTGTTATAAGGAGATGGATTTATATTCAGTCCAATATTAGTAGATGTAGCATTTATTTCAAGTTTAAATAGATTTTCTTAAAGATTCTTCCTTATCTTCATTCATTGAGAGTATCCCCTTTGAATTTAATAGACATTAACCCATTACCAGGTGGTAGATCCTGCCCTGCATTGTTTGCATTTTGGTATTTGATTTTCTCTTGGGTTGTGTTATAGTACCACGGATCTTTTTTACCTTTTAATTCATTTTCTTCTTTCTTGGTTATTACTTTGTATTGTATTCCTTCCTTTTTTTTCCTGTTCCCCTTTCCTCCTCCTCCCTTCATCCCACTCCTCTTCCTCCCTTCATCCCACTCCTCCTCCTCCCTTCATCCCACTCCTCTTCATCCCACTCCTCCTCCTCCTCCCTCCTCCTCCTCCTCCTCCTCCTCCTCCTCCTCCTCCTCCTCCTCCTCCTCCTCCTCCTCCTCCTCCTCTTCTTCCTCCTCTTCCTCCTCTTCCTCCTCCCCCTCCTCTCCTCCTCCCCCTCCTCCCTCCTCCTCCTCCTCCTCCTCCTCCTCCTCCTCCTCCTCCTCCTCCTCCTCCTCCTCCCATCTCCACCCTCCTCCTCCAATTTACACAAAATTATCAAATATGATAAAGTACCATATAGTTTTACACTTACTACAGATAGATCATATAGAAAAGTGTTGATTCATGTCAAAAAGGATAATTCATCATTATGTTGACCTTCAGTCCATACATTGTTTCTTGCTTTATTTTCAGTATTATTTGAAAAAAATAATAATAACTGCTTTTGCAAGCTAAAGTATATGATTAGATTGAGATGTGAAAGTAAGTGTGAATGTTTTTAAAGCATGAAAAGAGTAGCTGTCTCTATTTTGAGTATAGATGCTGCTTGTTAGTAACTTTAGGAATGTGATATTGTCTATGTAATGTACTATCATATGCACATCAGGTAAAGCCAGTCTTTATGAAAAAATACATTGAAAAATAAAATTTATCTTGTATTTACAATTCTCTTTCTCTTTTTACTACATCTCACTTTTCTCTTCTCATCACTATTCTCTTCTTTTTTCAATATACTCTTTCTAGTCTCTTTTTGATACATCCTGCCAATGTATAGAACTAGATACTGCACCACATGTTGCCTAGTTTGCTGTTACAATTACACAAAAGCTTAAAACTATATATAAACAAGAGACTAAATTTGTCATTATAGATTTAAGGACTGTTGCTTTGCATTCCTTAGATATAAGTACTTACTGATTGCTCAAAGGTATGGTATGAATTTGAAACATGCGTATGTGAGACTTCTAAGCATTTTGATTCATACTTATAGTTATTTAGAGAAATCTAATAACATTTGTTCAGTGATACTGCAGCTTTTGAAGCTTAGTTTCTTGAATGTTTGCATTTACTTGATATCAGTGGTGCTTGTCATTAGCAATCAGGCAAAATATATTTCTGTGATTGTATGCCTTAATCATGCAGTTTTCTATTTCTTCATTGCATCAAAGATGATCAGAATATAATTCTTTAGAGAATATCATATTTTTATTGTTTGCATAAAGTTATAACACTCCTAAAAATGCAGTAGTAAATGCCAGACATGTTACATTGGCTTGTAGTATTGTGTCAGACAAATGTTTCTCTCAATAATAAACTGTTGATAAAAGAACATAAGCAGACCCTCTTTTTATTCCTACTACTTACTTAGAAAAATGTCTATATATATATATATGTGTATATATATATATATATATATATATATATATATATATATATATATATATATATATATATATATATATATATATATATATATATATTTTTTTTTTTTTCTTTTTTTTTTGTCAAAAGAACCAGGAATTGAGCTATGGGATTTAATAACTTTTCCATAAAATTAAGAAATTATGGAAAGCTTGTCGTGTGTTTTGGTGTGCTATTCTGAAAGGTAGTTCTTACTGATGTATAATTCTGCATCTATTTTTATATGTTCTTTCAGCCCTGAATTATGTATGTCAATGTTTTACCATTCAGCTTTGGTGAAGGAGGAATCATCTGCAAGCCACAAAATAGAAAGATACAAATGAATGTACAACTTGTTAAGAGTGAAGTGAGTTCTGTAAGAATGGTCAAATGTCTTTCGAGTTAGTGGATAAGTGAAAAATCAAAAATTATTATTTCCTTGAAATTTGGAGAACTAAAATATAATTACTGTAAATTACATTCAGCAAGAAAATTAGGAACATTTCCATCAACAAGACAAAAAGAATGGATGTGAAACCAAAATGAAGAATGTCTTGCAGGAGCCAGCATACACAGCAGGAGCATATTAATTTCCATTTTTGTCATATTGAAATATGACTTTTTACTTTTTAAAGGTATTTAACCTTGAAAATTTTCAACCAGTTTATCTCAGTTATCTTTTAAACTCAAAAAATGAAAAAAGACAAAAAATTTAAACAATCATGCTCATGAGATATATATTAAACATCATTATACAAAGTATTAGATTTTTTTTCTTATTTTGTAAGTATAAATATTCATCATCCATATGGTTGATGATATCTTAGTAGAAAAAATACACAACTTAGGTTCACTGAAAGGTGAAACACCTGGTCTGAATCCTTACAGTAAACATAGTTTTTCTTTTTCTATTTTTTCTAATTGTATTTGTGTGTGTGTTGCAATGTATGATACTGATCACATTTGTTTGAGCTTAGTTTGAAAAAAGTGCAATTGAAAATCTTACAATTTTATTATTTTCAAGAACCAGATAAGCTGGAGCTTATTACAAATAGAAAATAGTAATTGCAATCTTAATATCCATTTTATTTTTCCTCTTTAACCCCTTGCCGATGGGGATGGCATGTACATGCATGCCATGCCCAATGTGAGTCAACTTGTTTGATTGTTTTTACACATAGATGGCTACACTTGCTTTGTATATAGACTACACAATCTGGTTGTTCCTTAACATAACATACATATGTTAATAACTGGTATATAGTTTGTGAATATTTTTTTTTATTCTTGTTCTTTGTCAGGTGTTGAGCATCATTTTTCTGTGATCATTTGATGCTAGCAACAGCATTGATCTTTCTAGGTATTACTATCACAAATTACATTGGGGGAAAAAATGATAGGGAAAACAATTGATTCAGTAAATTAGGAGAGGAAATATGAAGAGCAGTAAAAGTATCTTTTTTTGTGACATGAGCATATACAGATGTGACAATCTGTCAGATTTAATGAGAAAAATAAAGACAAGATTTTCCATCAGTTCCTAAAATTCCATGCTATACAACAAGAAACTCAGCAAAAATAAGAATTTTCTCCCACAATAGTAGTATTCTACATACAGGCCATGATATATGAGGTGAAATATTATGGTTAATGTATTTTTTTCTTTATTTTTTTACATTCTTGTAGGTTAATGAACCAATACATTATAAATTCAGCAGTTTTACTATTTTTATAAAAAAAAATATATATATACATATACATATACATATATATACATATACATATACATTTGCCTTTAATGTCTTGATATGATATTCACTTTGATTACCTTTACCAATTTATGTAAGCAATAACTGTCTCTCTGTCTGTCTCTCTGTCTGTCTCTCTGTCTGTCTCTCTGTCTGTCTCTCTGTCTGTCTCTCTGTCTGTCTCTCTGTCTGTCTCTCTGTCTGTCTCTCTGTCTGTCTCTCTGTCTGTCTCTCTGTCTGTCTCTCTGTCTGTCTCTCTGTCTGTCTCTCTGTCTGTCTCTCTGTCTGTCTCTCTGTCTGTCTCTCTGTCTGTCTCTCTGTCTGTCTCTCTGTCTGTCTCTCTGTCTGTCTCTCTGTCTGTCTCTCTGTCTGTCTCTCTGTCTGTCTCTCTGTCTGTCTCTCTGTCTGTCTCTCTGTCTGTCTCTCTGTCTGTCTCTCTGTCTGTCTCTCTGTCTGTCTCTCTGTCTGTCTCTCTGTCTGTCTCTCTGTCTGTCTCTCTGTCTGTCTCTCTGTCTGTCTCTCTGTCTGTCTCTCTGTCTGTCTCTCTGTCTGTCTCTCTGTCTGTC